GGCATAAAAGTAAATACTAGACAGGAAAAAAATATACGCGAATCCGGCGGTTTATAATCGGACCAATCCGTTAGGTTTAGGTTTGAGTTTTTCTCATACCGGTCAAAACGATTTGGTTTGAAAATTTGTCAAAAACCGCAAAAACCGTACCGCTTACACCCCTATGATTACATATCTTGGTAATCAGAAAAAATGACGTGCTTTATATATATCTCTGATTGTGCAAAACGTTCTTATTTTTCAATTTTTAGCATTTTCACACTTAATTACAACTTTCATTGCGTAAAACGTCATTTCTGTCCATTTGCATTAAAATGTTCCGTTAAATGAACACGTGGAGTCAAATCTTGTACAAAGAGAAGGGTATTCTCGTCTTCCGATAATGAACTCAAATTAAAGCTAGTTCTTCATCCTCTCGAGGAAGCTTCTTATATAGTCATATGCCATAATCACCACAGGCCCAGAAGCGAGCAGCGGCCCCACCACGCTGCCACCAACGACTTGGCCTTGCTCTCCAACTAAATATGTGGTTAATCCTCATGCAACAGGCGGATGGCGGTGGCAAAAAGGAACCCGAGAGGGACAGAATTTCAAATCGTCCATTTAAGGTCACTACTGCTCCTAGTGCAGCTGGTTGCCTTATAGTGACATGGATAAAGCGACTTGTAAATCACATTTATACATTATTCTTGACACCATCACTATTGACAAGATTTGATTGGTGAAAAAAACTGTTTTTTTTAAAACTGTCCAATAATATGTTGTCACGTAACACGATATAAAAAATGATGTAAATGATTGCAAGCTAAAGTGGTGTGGGGATGTTCTGAATACCCTTCTCTTTGGACAAAATTTGACTTCATGAATCCATTTAATAGTGCATTTGGATTGAAACGAACCAAAAGGACGTTTTGCTCAATAAAAGGTATGATTAAAAGTAAAAATGTTGAAAATTGGAAGGTATGGATGCTTTGTAAGAGTAAAGTGAAAGGTATGAACGTTTTTTGCTAACTACCCCCTATACATAACTACGAGCATAAGACACGCGGTACGAAAGCAAGAATCGGTAAAAATAAATGAAAGATGGGCTAAAAAATTGAGTAATCTGTAGTTGCAATTCCAATTTTCCATTTGCCTAGCGTCAAATAAGTATCGGGCATGCATTTCGTTAAGCACGGGGAGTTACCATTAGTTTTGGTAACTATTATAGATGAATTTGTCAAATTAAAAATTATAAGTTGTGTGATCAAATCGAGACAAATCAAAGTTAAATAACTAAAATGAAATAAACTTGTAAGTTGGGTGACCTCAATTAATATTTTACCTTTCCAAAATAAAGTCTTTATCAATGACATGATAGGTTATTTATTTGTTAATCCCAATTGCACCATGAGAGTAACAGTATTGGATTTAAATTAGCCACGCTTTCTCAGTTGTTAGGTTGATGGAAAAGCCAAACGGAAATTTCCAAGATCATCTCTCCCTCAGAACTTTTCTTGCTTTAATTGTTTATCAAAGTTAGTTAACGTCTCATTTGGTAGTTGGTACGTTATAATGGATTAAACTAGATTTTAAAATAAACAATACCAAATTTTTTATGCGATTTCAACTCTTTTTTTTTAAAAAAATCATCGAGTCTATACATGTTATCGAATGACTTCATTACACTTGATTTTTAGACGTGACAACCTCCGTGAGTTCATTCAGTAAATTTATTAGGATCCGTTTGATTGCAAGAGTGAAATTTGGGTGGAAATAAATTGAATTACAGAAAATTGAATTACCTAGGATTGTTTCTCCAAGAATTGTCAATTAATTGTGTTTGAGTTAAGTATAGTTTTCCACTTGAAAAATGTTGAAATTTTGGATCTTTTGGTGTACGTTTGACTTTGTTTTCCATGAAAATTGTTCATTAAAGGGAAATTTTTTTTTATATATAATTGTCCATAAAATTTGTTTTCATTGCAAAAAAAAAAAA